AAAAAACAGAGACCCTGAAGGAGGCAAATAAACCCTGAAAGGGGCAGAGCCCAAACAGACCCTGAAGTAGGGAGAGGCCGACAAAACAGAGAACCTGAAGGAGGCGAAGAGACCCTGAATGGGGCAGAGCCCGAAAAAACAGAGACCCTGAAGGAGGCAGAGCCCAAACAGACCCTGAAGGAGGCAGAGCCTAAACAGACACCCTAAAGGAGGCAAAGAGACCCTGAATGGGGCAGAGCCCGGAAAAACAGAGACCCTGAAGAGGGCGGAGCCCGGAAAAACAGAGAGACCCTGAAGGGGGCGGAGCCCGGAAAAATAGAGATCCCTGAAGGGGGCGGAGCCTGGAAAAACAGAGACCCTGAAGGGGGCAAAGAGACCCTAAATGAGGCAGAGCTCGGAAAAACAGAGATCCTGAAGGGGGCAGAGCCCGAACAGACCCTGAAGGAGGCAGATCCCGGAAAAACAGAGACCCTGAAGGAGCCAAAGAGACCGTGAGGGAGGCAAAGAGACCCTGAAGGAGACAGAGCCCGGAAAAACAGAGACCCTGAAGGAGGCAGAGCCCAAACAGAGACCCTAAAGGGGAAAAGAGACCCTAAAGGGGGCAGAGCCCGGAAAAACAGAGACCCTGAAGGAGGCAGAGCCTGGAAAAACAGATACCCTGAAGGAGGCAGAGCCCAAACAGACCTGGATGCGTGAGAAGGAGCTCTGAGGAGGACCAAAGCACTTTGACACTGCTGGAATGTGAGGAGGAGAAAGAGAGAGGAGGAGCGAAACAAACGGGAGGCAGAGAGGCAAAAATAGCAACAAAAAAAGGCCATTAAACGTGAAGCGAACAGCAACGGCGGCTCTTTGACCCACAAATGAAAACAAGCGATCGAGAAAAATCTCACTGCCTGTGGGGGGGAGAAGGGGGGGGGCAGCGCCGCATGTTAATGCAATCACAGGTTTTCAGGTATGTCGGCTTCACGCAGGAAAAATGCGGTGAAGGAAGGATTTTTCTTCACAACATATTCAGAAAACCTTGAAGAGATTTCTTGAGAGTCCTTTTTTCATTCTTCCGTCCGAGCCAAAAGATTTCCCCCCGGATCAATTCTTCATCCTCCGGCTGACTGAACAAGCCTGTCCCCTCAGTCTGACCTGTACTCCCTCATTCCTCCACAGCCCTCCACTCCTCCAGCTCCCTCTCACACACAGGGATATATCTATATATATATATATATATGTGTGTGTGTGTGTGTGCGTGTGCGTATATATATATAGACGCACTCCGGACCTCACACACAACCCGAAAACCTGCAAAAGCTCAGTTTAAGTGCCAAGTGCAGGCAGATGAAATCCAAACTCACAGCAGGACAAACTGGACTCGATCGTCTGGCCAAAAAAAAAGAAAAAAAAGAGGAAGGGAAGGAGAAGAGGAGGAGAAGAGTTTTCTAAGTCGAAAACACTAGACCGTCCGGCCCGAGCATTCCTAAATCCAGCCGAGCAAAGAGGCCAAAACCGGAGTTTCTGAAAAGTGACTGAATCCTTTATTGATCTCCAAAGAGAAATTAGTTTCTTCTGAATCTGAATCTGAATCTGAATCTGAATCTTCCACTGAATCACGTCCGACTCGCTGCTGCACCTTTTGTGTTTTATATTCTCGTTTTTTTTTTAACTCCACGAGGACAAAAACCTTTATTTATGGGCCGCCCTTCCGCCCAGATAAAGGCGGCGATCCGTCTCCGACAGATAAAGGGAGGCCGGAGCTCCTGATGGATTCCACGCGGTGGAAAACGTTTCCCCTTGATCCCGGGGAAAATAAAACACTCTGCACTGTGTCAGGCTTTTTCCGTCCGTCTCGTCCCCCGAGAAGTGTTTCTGCTCGGAACAAGTCTTCCCTTTTAGGTGGGAAAACCAGAACCAGAACTATGTGGGAATATCGGTGCCAATCGGAGGCTCGTTCCGTTTGTTTTTTTTACGAAAAAGTTTCTACAAAACACTTTTCTATTTTGCAAAAAAAATGAGTTGTAATTATTTTTTTTATTTTTTTTTCTGTGTCTTGTAACATTTCTGTACTTTTTTTCAATTCCCAGAGTGATTTCTGGAGACAAAAGCTGCTCTTTTCAGTGGAAACGCGACATAAAGTTCACAGCTTTCTGTAAACCGAGGCGGCGTGTTAGCTTCTTTCAGCTCATTGTGTCGTTTTTTTTCTCTCTGGTCTGAGACTTTTTCATGGTTAGTAAAGGTGATTTTTTAGGGTAATTAAATGGGGAACGTGGCGAGGCACCAGATCAGTCAAAAATGAGCACATAAGGACTGAAAATAGTGCACAAAAACAAACATTTAAGTGCTCTCCGGCAGCCCTGGTTTGGAAGATTTAAAAAATAGTTTTTTGCCATCTGTCATGTGATTGGTCAGAATTTTTAGTGGGCGTGGTCGATGCAGAAAAATGGAAATGGAATTTTCTCTCATTCATAGTGATTTTAAAAAGGGAAATTAAGGCGCTGTTATTCCTCTGTTGGGGCGGAAAAACAGCAGCTATATTAACCAAATCCAAACTTAAACTGTAGGGAACAATGTGGCAAATAATAGATTACATAATCTTTTTCTGTTAGATAAAAACAGATAAAGACAAAACGGATACAAGACGCAGTTTGGGAAAGGAGTAAATTAGCTTTCAGTTTAATTATAAAGTTGGGATATACGTCATGTGTCATAATCATGGAAATCTTGTTATAAACTAGCAAAAACATAAACTAGAAGGTAAATATAGCGGGCATGACCATTAAGAGAAGGCGAAATGAGAGATTTCTGCATAATTATTCACCTGCTGGATACATTCCAGTTAAAGATATCTGTAAGACAAACAAAGTTCCTTCATTTTATCTGAAGCAGGTTTTTATTTTAAAAAACATCTGTGTGATGACTGTTTTTAATAGGACGTATAGATGTGCGTTTGACACCCAGATCCACTCCGGTTTTCTCATTTTCTTGGCTGGTGGCGAAAACCCCTGCGAGTCGTAGATTTTACTGCTCGCTTTTCCAGCCCAAACAGACTTTCCGATTCCCCAAAAAACGAGCCTGGGCTTTTCAAGTCTTTTCAAGGCTCAGAGCTGTTCGTCACGACGGATTTTGGCGAGCACAACTTTTCAGGGAGCTGGAGAGAAAACAAAAAAACAAACAGAAAAAAAACATTTTTGGCCAAGATGGCAAACCCAAACTCTGTGAGGTAGCAGCCTGATCTACAGGGGAGAGACTGTAGAATGTCTTTTATGGCCTTTTTGGAGCTAACGTCCCTCAGTTTAGAGTTTCAGGAATAAGATCCTTGAAGTTTAAGAGCTCTCGAAGATGTGTTCCTGTGGGAGACGTTGGGTTTACCGAGCTTTTCCTGCCAACCTGACGGGAGGCGGGACGGCTTTTATCTGCTGCTAACCGGGAGGCGGCGAGAAAATAGGAAATCTGGAAGGAAAGCTATTATAGAGGGGGATCCATTATCTGGTGTGTCTCTGCTCCTCCGATTATTCCGTCTTCACGTTTTCACCATATGTGCCTTTTTCAGCCGTCTACGGAGCTGGAAAAAAGAAGACGGCTGCTTCCCCGTTTCCAGGGAATCTGTCGTTCTCTTCCCCACCTTCCCTTTGTGGAGAGCTCGAAAAAAAAACACGATTAAAGAATAGAGAGAGGCCACAGTTTTGATACGACTCACGCCATTTTTTTCTTTTTTAATGGACTGTAGACTATGGATCGATCAAAGCTACGACATGACTCTGCAGATTGGTGTTT